CTATTAACTCAAATGAACACTTCTCTGCCTTCTCACACATGGCATAACACATCGCAGAAGAAAGTAAAAGCACTGCTTGAACCAACAGGAGTCACTGCCTATTTTAGAACTTCCACTGCCAACTCCAAATACCAAAGACAGCACGAGCCCACTGCCTACAACAAAGCCAATATTAAGTCTAGTCCTGAACTCCACAGACATTAACACTGTGCTACTTTGAACCACAAGAGAGATTTGGGACGAGTGGATATAACGAGATCTCCCTTCAAGCTGCGTAAACTGATGAAAATTTTTATTAGAGTCAACCCAACCAATAACCCGGGACTTTGACAGTCTCCAGGGGGCACTCCCACACCATTCCATTCCTGTGACGTACAGAACAACTGACGCTTTTGGCAGGGGTGCAAATGGCACATTAGTGTGGCGGTACCTCTCCAGTCAGAGTCTTCCTGAAGCAGTCAAAGGTCCCAGAATAGAGCGGCGGCTGGCCGGGCTGCGGCAGGGGCTGGGTCTGCAGTCTGACCTGCCGGCAGGGAACAAGAAGGCATTGCTTTATTGAGTATCGCTGCCCCACCTCTGACTGGGAGAGCGCTTCACTGCGACCGCTGGGCAGCACAAGCTGACTTTGTTTTGCCTGCAGAGCATTAGCATTATTTATTCTCTACAGGAGTTAAAAGAACGAGAGTTAACTTCTTTAATAGCTAATGTATTCAGCTAATTAACTGCTGAGACGATATCAGGTAACAACCTCACGCGAACGCTCCGGAATTAACGCCGCGCTTCGGTAACGCTCGCTGAGCGCCGACTGCGGGGCCTCCATGTCGGCAGGGGGCGCTCAAGGCCCGCACGGCCCCTCCGCGAGGCACGCCGGGAGTCGTGGTCCTCGGCGGCCCCGCAGCTCCCGTCGGGAAGCGTAGTTCTCCCGAGCCACCGTGCTGCCGCCCGGCGCGGTGCCCGCCGGGAAATGTAGTTCCTCCTGCCACTTCCCCGCCCGCTCCCGCCGCAAGGCCGGCGACTCCGCGCCGTCCCTCACCTTGATGGTGTCCAGCGGGTGTCCCACGAACACCAGGCACACGCCCCCGAAGCCGCCGGCGAAGAAGTTCTTTACGGGGCTGATGGGCTGCGGCTGTTCCGCCATGGCGACAGTCGACGAGGGGCGCGAAACAGAACCGGGGAGCAGCGTCCCCACCGAGAGAGCGCCGCCCCTCCGCGCCGCGACCTTTACCCCAGTGCCGGGCCGCGCGGCACGCTGGGACGCGGGGGGGACGGGGGGGGGACGGGGGGGGGACGCGGGGCGGGCGGGAGCGAGGCGGGAGCGGGGCGGGCGTCCCATCCGGCGCCGGCACCGACGCGGCCGCCGCGCGTCACCGGCTCGCGAGGGCGCCGAGCGGAAGCCCTCCGTCTCGCTCCCGCTTCCCCGCCCCGGCGGTTCCGCCGTCCCCACCTCCCGCGGCCCGCGGCAGTGGTGCGGCCGGAGACCGCGGCCCCGCCCGGCGGAAGTGACGGAGAGTGGAGGTCGGAGCTTCCGGCGCGCAGGTGGCGGCGGCCCGGCAGGAGGAGCCCGGGGTGCCGCTCCCTGCCTCCCCCGTCCGCCGCGCCGCCGGTAAGTGCGGGGCCGCCGAGCCGTGGGGAGCGGAGCGCCCGCAGCGTGCCGCCCGGCCCGCGGGACCGGCGGGGGGTGGTGAGCGGGGAGCGGCTGCCGCTGCCGGGCGGGACCGAGCTGGGCGGAGGGCCGCTGTCGCCTCGGCGCTGCCCCGGGCCGGGGGTGACGGTGGGGTGGCCGCGACGTCCCGACGGCGGCGTGCGGGGCCGTTCCTGCACCCGCGGCGAGGGGCTGGGGAGGCTTAAACTGCGCTCTGCTCCCTCATAGGGCGCTGCGAGCGGGGGGAGGGAGGCAGGCTCGTGTGGGCACGCGTGAGGTAACTTGGTACGAGGGATAGTAGGCCGGGAAGGAGGAAAGCCCTCGCGTTAGGGCCGGCATGGGGGAACGAACAAAGCCTGGGGCGTTTGGGGGGCAGGCGGATTCCCAGGGATGCGGTGTGGCTGCGGATCCCTGCTGTCTGCTGTACAAGGAAACTGTGGGCTGCCGTCCTGCTTTCTCACTCTTGGGATGAAAAAATCCCGTCGGAAATCTCGGCGGGGAAGGAAGCAGAGAGCTGTGCCCGCCGTGTGTGCGAGGAAGCGGCTGAAGATGATCCCGGGATTACGGGCTGGGGTGACACAGACAGGGATGTGATTAACATCGAAACGGCAGCTGGGGCTGTGCTGGAGTTCGGAAGAAAGAAGGTGAAGTTACACAGAGAGGTGGTGCGGGAGGCAGGCCAGGGTAGCTCTTTGCTTCAGAATGATTATTGAGGAAATGAGAGAAGAAATATCCGCAGAAATATGTGGATCTTGTGAAATAGCTGTGGAAAAAGAAGCATCTTCCAAAGGACTTGTTAGAGGAATCCTGTAAGGGTGGATATAAGGGTGTAAATCAGAGAAGAGTGATTCAGTGAGGTGAGATGCACAGTGGGATGTGGTAATTCACTGCCCATTAGTGGAGAGGTTAGAGACTGCTGGTAGCACAGCCGAAAGTGTTTATTTCTAGAGATCTTGCTAAAGAAGAAGCACGTTTCAAATCAGAGCTCAACATGGGGCATCCTGTGGGGGCTGATCGGTGCTGAGCTGGGGCTGTGGGTGCCCCTGGAGCAAGGCAAGGGGAGGTTGGGTGATTACATCGGTGTTAAAGAGGGTGAGGAGTGATTTGGATGGAGGTGACATTAAGACCTCATGTTCTGCATAGAAAAGTAACCCAAATACCGTTTAAAATTTTATAACCTGATCTTCACGATTATGATATTAATTAAATTACTCCAAATTCTCTTTGTTCTTTTGACCCTCTCTTTTGAGTTTATCGTTTTTACTGTCTTCAACTAGTGCTATCAGTATTAGCTGTGTCTTGTCTTAGTTTGTATTCAGAGAGCTTATGTTTGGATCTGAGGGCATTAGGCTGAGTGGGGCGAGTTACGCTGCTTGTTTTCTTTCCTTTGTTTTCTCCTCAGAAGCTTTAGTCGTCTTCTGTCATTCACACACATCCATCTGTCAGTAAGTTATGTTGGAAGTGAACTCTTTCCCAGAATGTTGTGACAGGGCACACAAAAGACGTCCAGCCTGCAGGCTGTTTTCTGCATGACGTGTCTGATTTGCCCATGCAAACAGTTCCTCCGTTTGTTCAAGTAAATGTGGCACAGAGAAAGGACTCTGCTTGTGCCTCCATTGGGGCTGGTGTGTAACTGCTCAGGTGCTTGCGTGCCCCTTGTCTTGCCAGGGCACCTTGTTGCTCTGAGATGTATTGCTGTATACTGAGGGCTGTGGTTTAAATGTGGTGGTTTTCTTCTGTCTGTGAAGTGTGGGATGATCTGATCAAGTCTAACTTTTCTGACTGGAGAAACAAGCTTGGACTTTGTGATGCTTTGAGGCTTGCTGAGCAGAACTGTCACACGTTTAGCTACTGTTACCTCCGTAGAGTGGCTTTAGGTTCTCACGTGAGTAACTCCTTTAACGTTGGATTTAACAGCAAAGATCCATTGCATCTTTTATGCAAGAGGTCTGTGTTGATGCAGGTTAAACCCAGAGCTGAGCTGTGAATCCTAGCAGGATGGACAGAGGGACAGTACCAGTTTGCCTTGTGTCTGCAAAATCAGATTTCACATCTGGAGCCTTCCAACATGGAGACACGGTGCTTTGGCTCCTTTGGACTTCTGCAGGAGGCAATGATATAAATTATCTGTATGTTCTGTTGTGAGCTCAGAAATCAAGAGGCAAAGGAATTAGAAACCAGAATTCTTGGGATAATATAATTAGCTCCTGGCTTTCAGCCTCACTCAGTGGAGGAGGTTTCTGTCTGCTGAAGTCGCTGCAGCTTCTCAGCTGGAAGGTACATCACATCTCTTCATGGTGTATTTGTGCTGCTTGCTCAGTGTAGTGCAACCAGAAAACAAATGAGTTGAGGGAAGGTAGTGGAAACTGATGGCAGAGATTTCCTGTGCTCTAAAGTCAGGAGTGTCAGAGCTTCATTATGGTTTCCCTGGCAGCTACAAATTGTGAAACTGTGGGTGTATGTGTGCAAGGATCGGAGTTAACAACGTAATGATGTGAAATGCCATGTACATATATATATAAAAGAAACTGAAGATATGCTGCCTGTAGAAAACACAACTTTCATATGTGAATTTTTGTACATAAAAAATTGTAGCATTGTGTTTTAATTGTCTTTATTTATTTAATATATTCTCTATAGAAATTAAATCAATTGGTAAAGTGGAAATTTGTGACTAAATGTGAGATGACCACAATCTAAGGCTGATAAGTGCTCTACCTGCTGACACTCTCAGAACTCCATTCTTGCTGTTTTAGTTACAAATCTTCTGCTGGTGGAGTTCAGATAAGTGAAGTCGAATGTGTGAATTTTCCAGTACTGGTGAGCACTGTAACAATGAGCTTGGTTGCTCCTATTCCTCTCGAGCAGTAGCTGCCACCACTTGAGCATATCAGTTTTTATATTCAGAAGGTGACGTGTAAGTACATGTGTAAGGTAACAAGGTGAGAGCACTTATTTTACTCCCCCGCTCAGATGTAAGGCCCAAGGCGCATCACGGCAAGCAAAACCTCGTTAAGGGGATTAACTAATTTCACTGTTTCTTTGAGATGGTATTGGAGACTGTTAAATTGGGTGCATAAGATAAGTATATTTGCCTGTTGTGTTTTCCAAAGTCCCACTGAATTCCATGTTTCTGAAGCAATATGGACTTGTACAGGGCACCACAGGTTGCACAGGTTGCCTTCCTCGCTCCAGTGATCATAGCTAAGAGGTTTGGTTTTTTCTGTTGAGAAAATGCAGATGATGTTTTCCTGCATTGCTGCAGGTTGTTCCTAAAAAGATAATGTTGTAAATCGAGATGCATTTCTGAAAAGATATGTGATGAAGGTTATGGAGCCCCTTTCCAAATGATGAAATCCTGGGACCCTCATGGATGGTGATGCAGCCATGTAGTAAACGCCTCTCTGAGTCTTAGACATCGCCTGTCAGAGCAGCCCTGGCCTTGCAAGTGCGTGAGTTGTTGCAGCAGATCCAAACCAGGGACCTGTGCAGCACCATCTTTGGTCTTGGGTTGCTCTTTTCCTGTCTGTTGGGTCACCTGTATGATGTTGACGTGGCCTCTTACCATTTCTTAGGCAAAAGAAAAAAATTGTTTTTCCCTCCTTAGGAGACAGAGCTCAGATGAAATCAAAAGAACGATAAAGTGTGGAGGAGAACAAGACGCTGCAATTGCTTTCCTGGTCTGCAGTTTGGCAGGGCATTAAGATGTCCGTGGACATGAACAGCCAGGGCTCTGACAGCAATGAAGAGGATTATGACCCTAATTGCGAGGAGGAGGAAGAGGATGAGGATCCGGGGGATATTGAGGATTATTATGATGGGGTAGCTAACGACGTGGAGCAGCAGGGAGCAGATGCCTTTGATCCAGAGGAATATCAGTTCACCTGCCTGACTTACAAGGAGTCGGAGAGCACTCTGAATGAACACATGGCCAGCTTGGCTGCCACGTTAAAGGTGAGGAAAGGCTTCCACATTCACACAGTGGCAAAGTAAGTCTGGGATTGAAAAGGCAAATGCCAAACACACAGTTTGGAATAAAAGCTGTGGCTATGTTACTGTTTTGGGGAGCTTGGTGGATGTTACTGCAGATCGCTTGTTCAAAACTGACTCAAAGGTTTGCAGTTGCTGCATACTGATGCTTGGGCCTGAAAATCTCTCATACTGTGTGTTGTATCTCTTTGTGCAAGTGATGACTCTAGTGTTCACCAGTAATAGGAGGCAGTTCCCTTTCTGCCTTGTCAGGGTGCTTTGGTCCCAGCGCTGCTCAGGGGAAAGCTGAGTTTCCTAAGCTGCAAGATGGTGGCACTTGGCTGAAATGAGTGATGTGCTGACCTTGTAGCAGGTCTAGGAGTGATTGTTCTCTGGAGCAGCTCCTGAAAGCAGGACAGAGGTAACAACAGCACATGAAAACCACGTGGGATGAGTTTTGATTTCCATAAATTAGATCTGAACCTACGTTGATCAGAGAGATCTTGATTCTTAATTGCACACCAGATTCTTACAGAAATAGTGTAAACATGAGGCCTGAAGACTAAAGCCTTTAGTCTGTCTATAAAGTGAGATGTTTTACTCTTCCTTAGCTGTCAAATTCTTGACTGGTTTCTTCAGAATGTGCATTTCAGATTCTGAATGCTGGCTGTTCCCTGCAGGTTGGGAGGCAAAATAAAAGAGCAGATGAGAGTAGCTGGTCAGTACTTCTCAGCCAGCTGCCAGTTGCTCTTGGTTCCCAGCAATTAAGTAATGATTTAGAAATGCTTTTCTCCTCCTTACTGTTTGCCTTCAGGTGAAGCACCCTTCAGAAGGACGATGCCTGCCATCTTGTTCTTGTGAATTAAGTTAACAAAAGCAATACTTAGTACAATCAGGCTTTTGAAGTTAAAGTCTTTTTTTTTTTCTTTTTTTTTTTTTCTTTTCCCTCCCCCAAGGATTCTGAAGGTGTCATTTCTGTTACAACAGTAAAGACTGTAGTTTACCAGATAATACTAACCTGCTAGATAGATTCTGGTCCCAAACCTGTCTCTTCTGGGCCCATTTTAGATTCATTTTACATCAAGAGTATGCCTGTATATTTCCTTAAAAATGAAGTGCTATGCATTTTGGTTTCTGCGTGAGAAGATAAAATTAAATCTGAGTGGGAACCTGGAAAACTGATGTTGTAAGCTACTTTAGCTCTACAAGTGCCACGTTCACACCGTTTTCTGGCAGTGGTGGTGCAAGAATTGCACGCTCCTCAACTTGGAAATGTGCTGTGCATGGGTAGTGTGTGCTTCTGGTTTCCTGACATCCTTTCTTACAATACTTGAGCAACCGTTTCTTCCTTCCCCCCTCTTTCCTAGGGAAACCTGTGATTTTGTTACTTTCCTTAAATAAGCAGGAGGGGGAAGAATTTGGGTTACATTAGCAAGGATAGAGGCTAAGGAAATTGGATGGAATGGGACCTATTTGTAATCATTTTCTTAATGGCAAAGCATAAATAGGGGCTGATTTTTTATTTTCTTGTCAGAACTGTATTAACTTTTTTCCTCTAATTTTCTTGAGCAATAAAAACTTTTTTTCTTTTTGAATGCAATCATTCATAATACCAATCATAATAATTGGGGTTTTTTTGTGTATTTGTGATTGTTCTTCTGGAGCACCGTACTTTACTGTGATGATTTTGCCTCCTTATGTTTCCAGGGTTGTACACTGTGTCTAGTGCTTACGTACTGCTTTTCAGCATTAGCTTATACTTATGACAGAGTGCTCAGCCCTGACGGGGAAAGAAAAAGGTAAATTTAAGACTTTTCTGGAGGAACAGTATTAAAGGCAATTTGTTTCATGGAATTTGGGCAACTTGTTATCCCAAGAAACGTTTAGACTAATACAATTCCCTAAAGCAAAGGAACAAATGAATACCACGAATGAGCTCAGAGCCGTGCTTGAATGTTCTGCTATACACTGCCATTAGATGATTCATGCTCTGAAGCTTAAACTGGAGGGACTTGTGTGTTTCTTCCATGGCATTTTGTCTACGCTCTAAGACCAAAACCAGGTATTCAGAGCTTTACACCCTCACACGTGCAATCTCTGCTGTTATTAGCTAATAACTATCTGAGAAGTATTTCATTTACTCTGCTCATTAAACTCAGGTTTATTTTTTTTTAATTCCTTTGTTCAGCAGTTATAAGTTGGCTCTGTCAACTCGTTTTCTTAAAGCATAGAGCTAAAGGGTGTTTTTCCTTGGAAGCCTTCTGGACTACTCTTTTTTCACTGCTTGTGTGTTACAGCAGAACTTGTTCTTGCTGCTAATGAAGCTAACCCCAGCATTGGCAGGTCAGTTGGGAATACTCAGCATATGTTTAAAAATTTCTTCTTAGGTTTGTTTTAGGGAGAGCTATCAGCAGATCCTTGCTTTCTGAGGAAAGGAGAGAAAATGTTTTCTCTTCGGGGAGTGCTGTTGAATCAGATCTGTTGTGGGGAATTCAATTAATAACCTGAGTAAATTAGAATAGAGTATTTGCTGAGCCATGCTTGAAGAAATCTCCAAGTAATATTATCCAAAACTGGTTCTCTGACCAAAAGCCTGTGAATGAAAGCAGGAAGGCCTGCATCAGTTCCCCACAAGGTCAGTTAATCCAACCATCAGCTCCTGTTAAGGACAGTGCGTTTGAAAGCAGAGCAGCATCTACTGCCTGCAGACCAGCAAAGGAATCGTAGCAGTCCTTTTTAGGAAGTAGGTGTATTTATAAAATCCAGGATCTTTCAAAAAATAAAACGTAACATTGGATAGTAGTGATCTTGTTTTCAGGACACTCTGTCGCATCCACATGAAGTGATAATGGGTTCTAGAGTGGCACAAGATGCACACGAATGATACGGTACTCAACTGTTGTACAAACAAAGCTGACACCATCACTGGCAAGCAGATAAGTGTGTGATGATGTCATATTGTTTTTGTTGGTGAGTGACACCCCCTGGTGCTGCTGAGAGTCTTTGTACAAGCCTGGAATTTCTGTGATGTTCCAAATAACTGGTGGTAGTTTTTCTGTTTTGGTGATGAAATGAATCTTTCTGTTGTTGTTTGTTTTGTTTTTTTTTCTACCAGCTTCTTCACAGTGGTCATTGAAACCACCAGGTAACACAGTGGTATTACAGTCTATGAAAGAAATGTTACTTCAGGAGCTTTGAGAAGCTGGTTGTCAGTCACAAGGCTAAGAGAACTTTGCAGACTGAAAGCGAGTAGTGTTGTTTTACAGGCAGTTGATACTGATGTTGTCTTTCCATTAAAAGTGAAGGAATTGTAAAACTGAGGAACTTAACATTTTCAGTTAATTAATGTGGGTAATCTGTTCATATTTATCAGGCAGCAAAACGTTTATTTCCCTTGATTCTCAAAATAAACACTTGTGAGGCATTTGTCTGAACCCTGTCCTCTAAAGAATAAAACTGACAGATAGAAAAAAGTATTCCATGTCATGACACAGCACTGGATCTACTAATCTGCGTTATCACTGCTGATCTTTCAGCATTAAACTTGCCTTTCCACGTGTTCTTGCTCACCTTATTGACGCTGTACTTTTTTAATACAACCAAACTAGCATTTGCTCATAAAAACACAGTCCTTTCAAACTCTTCCACGCACTCAGATTGTGCTGACACCGAGCAGTTAGTTTGTGGAGCTGCTTGGTGAATGCTGGCAGCCATCCCTCTCAAATACCATCTTTAGCAGAGCCAGAGTCATGTGCGCGCAGACTGGCAGCCGGTACGAGCAGCTCTACCCAGAGGAGCTGGCGCTCTCCGCACGCCTGTGTGATGTGATTGCGAAAAGTCTGCGAAGAGCAAGATGCCAGATGAGTAATTTCTGCCTCCCCGTGTCACGGTGCGAACCAGAGCTGTGTGTGCTGTGCAGGGTGCTCAGCTGACAGCCTGCGATGTTGTGGGGTTGTCGTTTTGACACCATAATGGCTTAATGGCACTTAATAGGCAATGAAAAATGGCAATCGCTAGAGACTAAGCCCTGCCTAAGTACATGAGATGTATTAAAGCTGAGATATTCAAATGTATGCTCGTAGGAGCAGAACATACACCTTTGGTTAACGCCCTTAAGCCCTAAGGAGATGTGGGGTTGACCAAAATTGATAAATATTAATATATACAAATAGAAAAGTTGGTTAATATTTAAATATTATCAGTGGTAGATCCAGACGGGCAAATGTGACTTCTCCACCAAAGCCGTGGGGTGGTGTGTGGCAATGATAACGTGCTGTCTGAGTACTGGTAAGGCCTAGATTAGCTGGGTTTCTGCCCGTACTATATTCTGTGTTTTGATATTTGAGAGAGTGTTCTGTGGGGTGTTAACCCTGAGGAACACGTGGCTGAGAAGTGTTTCTGTCTTCTGTACTGCTTTCTGTTCTCAGAAAGATCCTGGAAGTTCTGCTGTACAAAAGCTGTGTTATTAGCTGTCAGTTTCACAATGCCCATGTTTTGATCATGTAGTAAACATCAAGAGGATGTGAAGATGTTGGTAACTGTCCTCAGTGTGTACTTTGTTTTTACTCCCAAGCAGTTTTTCTAAAAGCACAGTAAGTTTCCTTCTGGTTGGCAAGATAAGGAGGGCTGAGGGCCTGGAGCTGTCACAACTTTGTGCAGTCCTTTGAGGAGAGAAATTAGTTTTGTTCCCTGTTGCTTAGATGTGCTAAAATTCTCAACTTGATTGGAAAAATGAGCTGAAAACATGGAGGGTGATTATAGCCCTCATGTTTCATTGTGATTCACACGTAAAGAGTGTCTTACAGCCTGCATGGCGCTGCAGGGAGCAGGAAAGCTCCACACAGCTGCTAGTGAGTCTGATCCTGGTGGGAGGTAGAGTCACTAAGTATGTCCAAACAACCTTACAGTAACTACTTCATGTTGCAATCATTCAGCTGGACAACGTGATTGCAGGGAGTGGCACAAAGCAGCTCGGTTCATTGCCA